AGTGTTAGGAGGAAATTCAAAGTGTTTTATGAAATTATAGACCTATTGCCTTCTATTAAATCAGAATAAACTTAAATGTATTGGTAACACTTCACTTTAAGGTCTGATCAACCTGAACAAACTGCTACAGAAATATCGTATTCTTGTCTCACAAAGGTTTTATTAAGGAGCTTGCAAATGCAGGGGCGGGGGGGCAGTAACCCGGTGACAACATGCATTCCGACCCCCCGTGCCCCCCTAATACATAATAAATAATACATGTATTATTATTATTATTATTATTATTATTATTGTTATTGTTATTGTTATTTACATGTATGTATGTGTGCTAACATTTTGTGCGCTGGGAGCAGGCGGGACACAAACATAAGCACGTGTTCCTGACGGGCGGTCGAGTCGCTTCAGCTGGTGATAAGCGACGTTAACAACAGAAAAAAATAATCAAGCTCGTGGAAGCACGACAGTCTAAACAAGATATCAGAGTTACATGTTTGTAAAAAGTGTAAAATGTGACTGCAAAGCATTGCATAAATAACTTATTGCTTTTTAATGCTGGCAATCTAGTGCAAATAATACTAACAGAACAACTGGCCCCAGTCTGCCCCCCCCCCCCAGCTGAAATGGTCTAGAGCCGCCACTGTGTAAATGTCCGATTATGACTCATTTCTGAGTATTTTCTGAGTATGCTTACTAACCCACTGTGTTATATTTGCATGTCATATACAAGCTGTTTTGCAAATGACAGGAGCAAAACATGACTGTATTACATTTCTAAATTTGTAAATAATCTTTCTATCTATTAATGTCATCAAATGATTAGTGACGGCTTATTAATAGCTAAAGAGGAGAGAATAACTTGTTATTGTTGAATTGGAAACCACGTTAAATAATTATTCCTCTTTGCTCAACTGCATATAATTAAGAACAATTAAATCAACTCAAGCTAGGAACATTTAAATCAACGCCTTATTAAAAAAAAATCAAATAGCACCAAATTATCTAGCAATTATGAATACACCTACTCCTACTGATTAGGTAAAATGTAACAGTGTTTGTTTAAATATAATATTTCCTTTCAGGATGTCTTTAATCTAAACCCTGCCACTTACACTTAATGGATAATTGAGAAAATAAACTCCATTCTCCAGTTTCAAGTGGCCGACTGCCTGCTTCCCTTGCAAGAATGAAAACCGAGTAGCTGGCCCTTAAGACAACTCGCCAGAAGGAAAATTAAAGCCAGATTTCATGAAATGGACATCAGCCATAAATTACCCTGCTTAGAGCACATTTGCATTGGCACGACATGCAACGATGGCATAAAAATTCAAGTTTTGTTTACAGTTACAATGGCGTAAAAATACGATCTCTGTTTACGATCTTTAAGTAAGCTATTTATAGAATATTAATATCTCCATTTCTTGAGTATATGGCAGATATGAGTCTCACGGAGAGAATAGTAAATCTGGATATAATCTCAGTATATTTTATATATTTGTTTTGCTTTTTGTCTGATAACTTGTTGGATTTAAGGTAGTCCTGGCTAAATTTCAGTTTAGTTCAGACTACCTTAAATCCGACAAATTATCCGGCTAAGAAATCCTGTTGTTATGCTGACAAATCAAAATTATGCACCCAAAAGACTTTGCGCCAAGTTTTGTAGGAAACTGTAATATTTGATCGGTACCACTTTACAATAAGGCTTCCCATATAAAAAGTTTATGAATGGTTTATAATCTGGTTATTAATTAGGTTTCAACACTTTGTAAATTATTAATAGACAATTTATAACACAGTTTTCATTTTATTAATGAGTTACTACCATTTACAAGTGTCTTATGTAAAGTGGTACCGTTTTAATCTTAGTCATCTGGTAAACTGATTAGAATTATAGATTTTTGGTTGTGGGTGGGTCAGGAGGTAGCAATATTGTCTCCACCTCCAGAGTTTTGGGCTTGACTTGGTCCTCTGTGCAGATTTCCTCTCACAGCCCTGTATCATGCAGTTAAGCTTTAAGATTGTTGTCTCTAAATTGTTCAAGGTGAAAGGTGAGTGAATGTTTGTGTGTATTTGCCCTGTGATTGACTGGCATCCTGTTCAGGGTCTATGCTGCCTGGGATAAACTCCAGACCCCCCTCCCCTCACAACCTAGGATAAGAAGCTGGAGAATGGATGAATTTTTTTAGACGTGATACTTTTACTATCCGCCGACCTCTGTGCGTGATAGATTACTGTAGAAAGAAAGAATAGTGGAAATTAAGTATTTAGCTGCATAGAATTACTAAAGTCAATAGAAAGCTGGGAAGTGACAAATCTATGAGATTGAGACGTTCCGCCAACACTCCTTAACATGGGTCCCTTTGAAGATTTACAGAGGTTCTTCTTTGCTAGAAAAACTTTCCCGTGAACTCTCTCGCCACGGTTTTCATTTTCCTGCAGTTTTAGTGTTGATGGGGTTCTCCGCTGGGAGAAGCCAAGGACCAGGCAATGTGTGCAGACGTTCTGTGTCTTCAGCGGCACCGGTCCCTGCCCTCCCAAGGCACCAGCAAGACTAATGAGGACCGGAAAACCTGGAACTCAGATTTGTTATCGGTAAGAAGCAAGGTCAAAGAAAGCCGCCTGCTCGGCGCTCACTCAGTAATGCTGGACTGGAGCGAGAACCCGCAGACGATACTATGTATCTGTAGCAGTATGGCATGATTCAAGATTCAAGATTCAAGAAACTTTACTGTCATTGCACACGTGTTCGCACATGCCGTGGAGTGAAATTTAGTACTCAGGTCACGGATAAGCCACAGAGCTAGTCACACACACTTATACAGATGAAAATTAAATATAAAGGTATTGGAGTATAAAGTAAGGAGTATAAATTAGCAGTATGTACAGCGTCCAATATGCAGAAGCAGACATGGATGCAACATAAAACAGATCCAGGTCATTTACTATATAATAGTAATAACTTAATATTATGTTGCGTCTCCATCAAAATCATCGAGTAAAAAACACATTCAGTGTATATATCACTTTTTTAGTGTTTCTTTCAAAACCTCGCGATTATTTATTGCTTAATGTGTGGGGCACATAATTAATCTTCTGAATTATAGCCAAAATATATTTTAATTATAGTAATTATTTTAAGTAATGAAAAAACAAGGATATCACAATAAAGTATTTTTGACAGAGTCTAATCTCACTAAACTGTTGTAGGGCCTGCCTACTCAGTAGATTCATTCCACCTGCCTACTCAGTAGATTCAGATACTCAGCTGACTTCACTGTATTGCTGTATAACGTTACTGAACTGTAATAATGATCCAATCATTGGCTCTTAAGTACTTGCTGATTTAAATTCAAACGGTGACCTTTTTTGGCCAGGCAGTGTATATTTCTGTTCAGCTTGTACTACTTGGCAATTAATGCCTCAGGGTGTATTGAACAGCAGAGGGCGATATAGTGCTGACGGTCAAAGATTGAATTGACTGATGAAAAGGGTAGGGGGAGTTTTGTATTATTTTTGATCGGTGCATTTTCCGTGATTATAAACCTGTTTTATAGGTGTGAATATTATAACAAATGTCGAAAATATATGTGCAATGCAAGTAATTACACTTTATTGTTTAGATTTTTCTTTACCACTATTTAATGACAATTCAATATAATCACAAAGTACTTATACATAACACAACATATGCACTTTAACATACACGAAGTTGAATGAACTACCACGTCAAGTTGCTGCACTCCATCAGTGCTGCAAATGCACTATTAGTTGTTCGTTTGGAAAATCAAAATTATGGCCCGTAATATATGTATGGTTTGTTTCTAAGCCATACAAAACCGATCGTAATCTCTTGTGTGGTTAAAAACAGCAAATTCTTCAGATACTTCAGCTCCAAGAGAAGCTGCCTTTGTTTGTGTAAATCTATCGCTGATTATACGGTGACGACGGCTAGAATGTACGTCATGTCGCCTACCATAATTGTTGTTTGCAGGCCTCAGAGCGGTATTCAGTGGTCTATTTATGGCTGAGAAGATGAAAATGCTAATTCATGCAGCTCTGAATCTTAACAACATCTGGGTAAAATGTCTTACATGTTTATTACAGGATAATTTGTTTCTGAAAAGGCATGTCTTCTAATTATAGCATTGCGCTACAACAGAGGAAAATAGAAAGTTGAATGGCAGGTCCCTGTAAACCTTCTAACAGCTAACACGCTTGAAGAAGGAAGATCAGCAGAATCCTAACACCACAGGTATTTGCGATCCAGGTCATCATGGTCGTTTGGTGTCAGCCTGAAATGGGGGGAGGGGTAGGGCTGACGAGTCAGATGGAAAGTTCTTTAAGTTCACAGCTTTATCTAGTTTCCTGCGTTGAATAACAACAACTTTGAGCATATTTTGGCCATTAATGATTACTGTACATGGTTAACAGCAGCTCAGTGTTTTACAAATTAAGAGCCATTCCTTGAGGACATTGAAGATAGTTAACATAGATGCTAAGTAATACTGGAGGGGGGGGGGGGGAGTTGCGAGAAGGACATTGTGGGTTAGGAATGTACAGGTATCCCAATTTACCCTGTTGCCTGCACTCCACAGCAAAACCTCTCTCCCTCCTGACTGTCTCCCTCTCCTAATGGCTTTCAGATGTGGGGTTTAAGGGGTGAATGTCTGTATGCCATCCGCCTGTCCCAGGGTGGGGAGACCGAGGGGGGGCCGCTGTCAGGACTGATGGAGGGCCAGACCCCAGGTCAGAGGCAGCGTGCATCTGGAAACACTTGTCAACAGGCTCAACCGTGAAAGAGGAGATGGACATTGGGACCAGGAGGAGCACTAGAGATGGCCTGACCCCCCCAGCCCCCCCCCCCAACATAAACACCTACAGCTAGGAATCACATCAACCAGTCCCAGTTATTGCCCCACAAACAGACTGACAGAATCCCAGAAGGATTAATCTGAAAATCTCAATCATCTCTTTCCGAATTGTGAAAAAAAATCAATGGTGGGTTAAATATTTGTCAGTTTTATTTGAATAAGTGTCACTTGAATCAATGAATGAGTTTGATTTGCAATGTAAGGCACACATGGGATATATCTTACAGTATCTGCCCACACACGTACTTTCGTAACTAGTAATCAGGGAAAACGTCGACTTGTGTAATAACTGTATATTAAAATTCAAGAAAACTCTAGAGCTCTTGGGTTGAAAATAAGCAGTTAAAGAATAAAAACATATAACCACTAAAGGAAATGATTTGTTGCCAAAATGAATATTTTACAGTCCCTTTGTGCATCTTGCCTTTGGGAAAATCTCGACTTTTGGGAAAGTCTGACATAAAGGGCCGTTTTTAAGTTTAAGTGAAGTTGACATCTTTCTTTGCTGGGCCATAAACTATATCATAACTTGAATTCTGACTAGAATTTTAAAATAGCCTTTACGTTTGCTCATGAGGTACAAATGGTTCTTGGCATGGGGCAGCGCAGTCTCTTCTAACATTTTATTGTAACGCTGGAGAAGGTCCAGCTTTTTTTTCTTTGCTCTTTCTCGCTTAAGTCAGTCTACAGTATCGATCTTTGACTTAAATAGCCTCGGCTGAGCGAAGGGGAAAAGTCTCTCACAGGGAGGCAATTTGCATATAATTAGAAAGCAGAGCGCCTCCATGTGGACAGTTCATTGCGGACAAAATATTCATGCCGTACGTCTGACCGGGGTCCAGGGAGGGGCCTCTGCCAAGCAGCTGGAGTCATTCTGCCGAAGACTGGGGGGGGATAAACACCGCGAGAGGCCAGAAGGGAGGCGCCGGTGCTCTGTACCCCGGGTCTCTCAGGGACATCACTCCCGGACAGCTGGGTCCCCATGGGTGTAGGTGCGGTGGAGGCGTGGGGGGGGGGAGGCGTCCAATAGAGGGAGCCCTTGGGATGCAGGGGGCGGGGGGTTGGGTGGACTTCAACCCCTTTGCACGCAATGCAGCACCTCAGCTGCCGGCTGATTTGCAGGGGGGAGCCAATCAGCTCGGCTGCTGGAGGGTTAGGGTTTCCCACCCAATCAGCAGGCTGCATGGCACATGCTACAAGCTAGCACAGCTCTTAAAACCGCAAAGCCAATGTGTGCCAGCATAATCAAAACAGGTAAGCTATGCTTGACAAATAAACAGGGGGCATTGTTTATTTGCAGTGCTGATATGGTAGGAAGACAGACCCCCCCGCACCTCCCCATTTGTTTCCAAAATAAACATCAACAAAGTTCATCTGATTGTGGACGTGACCGTCTGCACAAGTTATGACAGTTTACTCTATGTAGACTATGCAAAGTTGTTTTGGAGCGGTTACATACTGACGGTGGTCACATGGTACGGTGGCCAATGAGGTCCAACAGATGTCAAGCACCCTATGCTAATCTCTCAGGCTTTGCGGGAAACAGTATTTTGTGTATATTTCTTGTTTCAGGTTGACCGGTTATGACAGACAGTGTGGCTTTAGCGTCTGTTAAAGACATTAAAGGGAAATATGATAAATGACTCACTGGGATTAAAATTAAGCAAAGGGCTAGTGCTTTACCGAGATAAGAGTGCGTATGTCAACATTTACACAATAAAATGCCATCAAGTAACGTCTTGAGGAAATCCAGACACCACAATCAAAGCCTTCCACAAAAGCACACTTGCTTAGATATTTATTCTGCATGACCCTGTTTCTGCACTGAAATAGTATTAAGCAGAGATTATAAAAAAGCTCAAGTTGTCTGATTTTCCTCAATACTGCATTGCTGTCGCCAGCAACAGCCCAGGAAAGTTACGTTGCATTTTTAACGAGATTAACTGCTGAAAATTCACACGGAAAGTTAGGCGAGAGCATTCAAGCTACAAGAAAGTGATACGTTGCATCGTTTACTAGTCTTATAGAACTGCAGAATCATGCATTCCGCCTCTGTAAGTTACTCCATTGTATTTCTGCAACTGTATTTTTATTATATAGGATTTTTGTTACAAATAAAGATATAATCAAGGTATATACACAGTAAAAGAAATACCATGTTTGGGGTTCGGAAAAGTTTCCCTTTTTTGTACAAAATGGGTTACACTGGTTTGCCTGTACGATAAACGAAACTGAAAATACATCGGTTGCTTTTGCATGGGAGTGATATAAAATGGAAGATGACATAAAAAAAGGACGCAAATAAAACATAAACACTTTCCCAGCTACATTCACGGAAAAGCATTGCATCGATAAAACTCCAAAAGGGTTTTCGTTGGTCGGTCCGATCTTATTCCAGTTCAGCGCAAATCGATGATAAACTGATGTCTGCTGGTGGGACAAAGCTTCAGAGTCTTATCCATGGTGTCCAGATGTCACCTCAGATGGGGGCCTTGGACAAAAAAACCCCAGCAGTCTCATGAACACTCAGAAGTGTGAAGCAGTAAGACCCATTTTTTCCACATTTTTTGTCTTTTTTTGCCCTAAAATCAGATTAAATTCACTTTAATAACCACGTCCAGATGGGTGTCACAGGGAACTTCAAAAGCACATCGTGTCGGAGATCCTCGCAAGGAACAATTTCCGAAATGTTTCAAGTTTCAGAGTCTCGCTTAGTTTTTGTTTTTTTGTTTTTCCCATCCCCCTTCCTTTACAATAGATGCAAGACAAAAAAAAAGCTATTAAAAATACATTCATTAAAAAAAGATGGCGTGTCGGCAGGAGGAGGGGCTCCTGTGTGGATTGAGACGAAGGGCTGGTGCACCAATCAGGATGCCTCTATTCATGGAGGACCGCGATTCCCAGCATCCCCTGCCCATGAAGCCACCTCCTTGCCCTCAGTTGACGGTAGGCACCTGGTTCAAGCTGTACTCCTTGGCCTTGAGACGGAGGTTGGCGATGCTATTGGCCATATTCATTCCCTGGGCGGTATTAGTGTTGGCGCAGGTTGGTGGATAGGTAGCCATGGCGCTGGAAAGGAGGACAAAAAGCAAATCACATTTATACATATACAAATAACACATATAATACATACAAAATAAACAGGGACTCCAGCAAAGATGTTCGGCCCCATGAAAGCATATCAAATTAGGCCACCAACCCAGATCAGTCCAATTATGTTCCAGATTTTTGAGGGTCCCTGTCACTCAAATACCACACACAGTATATACAAAATAACACATACAATACACTTTCTCCCAACCAGGAAGCTGCAGGAAAGAAGAAAACGGCCAAAGTACAAGCCACGTCTGCACTTACTTGATGGTCGGTATATTTTCAGAGGGGTTTGCACATTGACCATATTCCCTAACATCAGGAAGAAGCATGGGACGTACGCGTTGCTAGCCTTGTTTATTTTTCGACATGTTCCCGCCACTGAAAGGCGTCCAAATCAAACATTGATCCACCTCTGGGAAAATAAAAAAGTACTTGCTTTCTGACCACAGTGGTTTTTTTCTGGTACTTTCTTTGGTCCTTCCTGTAGCAGAGGACAGCAGCTGAAGGATGTATCAGTTTTGTAAGTAAGCAGTGCTTTCGCAATTTTTTCTGCTCACTGACAAATTGAAATAGTAATTCTCACTGAGCATTTTTGGTCTGTCTGACAGTCATAGCTTTCATTCATTTCCCTGTTTCGATGGGAATCCTCTTAGATCTGTATAGCAAGAGCCAGATATTTTTCATCATTTTCTTGACATGCAATGCTTACACGAGAGCTCAGCTAGGTGAGTGATGTACTTGATTTGGTTCTTTGGCCCTCAAGGAAACTTGTGTGTGTTCTGAGGTTAATCTCTCTCTAGCTTTAAATATGGAACATGCTGTGACACCTGGTTATCATATTCAGATCATGTGACTGCTATAACGGCATGACGAAACCTACCCTGAACCTGAATGGTCCTTGTCTCTCCAATAAACCTCTAAATGGCAAAACCGTGAAGTCAGAAAATACAGCTACAACAAGTAATCTAAGGCATTTAGGTTAAAGACACTTGAGAAGCAGGCCTACAAAGGAGGGTGATACGAGGTGATGAATGTAACCAGGTCCAAACAGGGCCGAGAGTAAGATGGAAATCACTTTACTCTGGTAGTAAGTTATGACCTCGACAGTTAGGCCAACTTAGATTACTCCAAGTACAAATTATAAGGAAGAGAATATGAGAAAAAGGGGACTAAACCTGGGGAAGAGAGTGGGGTCTAGAGAAAAAATCTATTTAACAAAGACTATTTAACAAGGCTATTTAACATATTGGGCACCATGCAGACCTGTCATTATTACAATATTTGAGAGGATTCTGTGGAAGAAAAAAAATTCATTAAATATTGATATGTTCTAAATATGAATGTTTTGAGAAAAAAAACGTATCCTACTCAAAGCAAAGACTGACGTGGGAAATTAAATAAAAACAAAATGGTAAGAGGGATCGCAGGAGAAAGGTTACCTGTAGGGAGCGGAAGCGCCCCAGGATAGATAGTCGTTGGGTCGGGGGGCAGGCCGGGGTACGATGGGCTGCTCCACCGCGGTCACGTCCCCCGGGTAGGACTTGAGAAGCGAGGCATTCTTGCTAGCGAGCATGGCCCGCTCGTTCCTGCGAAACTTGGCCCGTCTGTTCTGAAACCAGACCTGGAAAACATCCCCCCACCCAATGTCGCCGCTCGCGTTATCAGGAGTGTAGGGGCAAGCGTGGGTACAAATCAATCTTTAAACACCCCAAAATGACCTGGCTGGGGGCTATAAATGTGGCACCGCGGAGATTGGTGTAGTGCTTGCAAGCTCTATCAGCCGCTGTGTTTTATTACGATAAACTGATATTTTCAACGGTATAACTGACCAAACCCCAGCACGAGAACTTCGGCATCATTTTCTCATAACATGTTACATGTGGTCTGAACCAAATGTTATATTTACTGCATACTCCACTGTAGAAAGTAAGAGAGAAATATTTATACTCAGAAACCTAACTTTAAGTATATTTCTACTGTCCTCAACCCAGAAAGTTAAATCGTAGCTTAAAATTAATTTATCTGACAGAATTGGTACCTTTCAGTCTAAAACCTACAAAGTCTCCGACTTTGCATTTTTTTCTGCGAGGAAAAATTGTGCAAGATATTCAGGCACCCGTTTCAACTGGTAGATTATGCTATTTCTTGCTTGTTTTTGCAAGCGAAGTTGGGAGGCACCTCGGCGGTACTTGAAAAGGGCCGACGGTGACTAGTGCCAGCCGAAAAACGAGCAGTCAGGAACACACATCCGCACGCCGAAAGCTGCTTTCCTACATGTCCCTCTCGCCCCCCCATTGCTCCACAGAGGGTTAGGCTCGAACCAGCCTATTTTTAACACGAGCCAGCAGCTGGGACTTTTATTTGCTTTTTTTGTGCTGGACGCTAGCTAGATTCGCCTAAACGGCACTACAGCAGGAACAGCAATGGAGCCGACGGTGTTTGTGATTGGGTGAAATTCCCGGGGAGCATAAAGTCACGCGACTTAGATAAATTCTATCAGAACCTAGTGAAGCTTCCTTCTTATATTATGCTATTAATAGTTTTATAATTATTACATATTAATGGTTACAAACTGATATTTTTGCATAATGTTAAATTTGAATAGGCCTACATATTTTTTAGCTAAAGCTGCTTAGTAAAAAGCTTAAATAGCTAGATAGAGCAAGTTTTATATATGGTAATAAAGACATTTATATAGATCTTTCTAAAATATTTTTCAACTATAATCCTGAGCAGAAATAGCGAAATCGTAAAAGAGAGGGTCTGAAATTTGTGTAGCCCAGATGTACAGGATAAATCCTAATACAAACTGAACTGCAGCTTCTTATGGTTGCCGCGGCAAGCACCTCCGGCGGGCGTTAAGACGCAGGCTACCGTTATGGTAGGCTAATGTTACTTTTATGTGAATGTAGTTTCATGTAGTACTCGGGGTTTAATACACAATTTAAAATCCAAAAGTAAACTGGCGCCGTGTGTTCATTAGAGAAGACTGCTCAGCAAGAGGCTATTAGTTTCATCTGACAGATTTCTGTGGCACGATAGCTTGGCAGTCTGGCACACACTATTTACACAATCCCTTTGTTGTTGTTTTTTTCCCTCAAAGTAGACATAATTAGAAAAACATTCATGCCACAAACTGTTCGATAGACAGCATCAAGGTGAATTCTACCCTTAAAGACGTCTAACCCCTTATACTGCATATGGAGGTTTGTAGGAGTCGAAGTGTTCGTGAATCCGATCCAATTTTAGAAGTTACAACTAGCAGGCAATTATCTAATTTTGCTTTGACCCGAACAGAGGTGTTGTCATCGGGGCTGGGATGAATGGTTCATTTGTGCCTGGGAAAGGCTAATGAGGACGACAATAAACAGACTATAAATGCGCCGGCATCTGAAGCTGTTGATCCAGATTCTGGATATGTGCGGAGTCGAAGAGGGCATTCAGACACCCCCTGATTATTGCCAAAATGAGACTGAGAAAATGAGGACCCTGCAGAGTCATGACACAATTTATACCATACAACTCGTTAGGTTTTTTTTGGGGGGGGGGGGTGAAATAAATACACCAAGGACTCTGGGTTTTGACTCCTTAGAAACAGCTCACACCATGTCTAATAAATATTATCCTCCAAGCCTGATGGTGCTGACGGGACCAATAAGGCCACCATATATGCAAATCATGATTGGCATGACTAGATGCACCAATCAGTATCTCCTTCGGACTGACTATGGAGGACGCCGTACCTGCACTCGCGCCTCAGTTAGGTTGACCCTGCGCGCCAGGTCCTCCCGCACGAAGGCGTCGGGGTAGTGCGTCCTCTCGAACACGCGTTCCAGCGCCTGCAGCTGGCTGCTGTTGAAGGTGGTGCGATTCCGCCTCTGCTTGCGCTTCTTCTTCTCCTCTGTGTTCAGCTGCTCATCTGATACACACACACACACACGGACACATGCTTAGAGACTGACCTGTAGAACCACTGCACGCTGATCTGTGAATGCGTGGAACAACACATAGCCCTTGCAGGCGAGACAACAACCAGATGAATAAAGAGGAAATCAAACCTTTATTCCAAATCAGCTGGCTGGTCTACAAAGGCATGTTTGGCCAACCGTAGTTTTTTAATTAACACCAAAGCACTGTTGTTGATGTTCAGAAAACACTACCTATCTTTTACGTTTCGATTTAAAATTAGCTCCTTAAGGATTAATCATGTACATAAGCTGCAACTGCACGGGTCTCAGCATTAATTCGCTGGAAACTGGATTGTACGTGTAATGGCCCAGATGTGAGGTCTATATTCTGACAGCCAGATGTGCGACCTAAAAGGAAGCCTCGAGGGGAAAAAATACACACAAAGAACTCAGTGGTCAGTGGTTTCAGAAAGACGAGGTTCTGTAGAGCTTATGCGAGACGTTTCAGATCCACGACAGCGCATGTAACATTAACTCTTCCGACGCAAGTTACTCAAGCGTCGCAAGTTAACGAAGGTTTTCGTAGTAGGGCAGGCTGCTTCAGCGAACTGACACAACGCTAAAAGACCGTAACTCGTCTTTCAGTTTCGGGTTAATCCTTTCGTCTTCAGAAACGTTTAATTCAAAAGCCCAGGCGCAAGATCTGATGATAAATCTTAAGATAAATGGCAGCGGTGATGATCTAATGCACTCTTGTAGCTGCGTTGCTGTATGTGGAGCAGAAGTCAGCAAAGTCAACTTCAACATAAGCAATGACAAGCACTTCCACGCCTATAAATAGCTTATTAAAACGAACCTCCTCAGTGAGTCTTTAAATAGACTTAATACTTGATTTGTTAAAAATATAGCCTTTTGCTTCATATATTATATAATATATAATATATTACGAAATATACGGCAACATGTCAATCACCCTGCAGCGATAGGCCTATATATGTTATCATTACAAGACAAGCACAGGCGAATGGACACAATGTCAAAATGACTGTTTTTTTCTCATGAGAATATGGACAGTTATTGCTTTAGGCAGAATGCATCCACATGTCTTAATGAAGGACAGCAGTTAGGTTAAAGGTATTCGCAGCGCCAACCCGATTGTAAAAATTAAAAGTGGTTAATAATTTCCAAAACAACTCGTAGTGCTGGAATGATTAATAAATACGATTACGGATTTTAGCACGTTTCTACGAAAATATTAGATAATAATCCCCGTTGTATTGACGACCGTATCTGTTCTAGATACCGCCAAGCACGAGCTATTAATGACAGGCCGACAGCTTACACAAAGCCGAGTTCTCAATCCTGGAAATCAATAGGGAGCCAACACCGCTGGTGTTCGGACCACTGAAAACCTTTCAAAATCCAGCCATTTAAGGATCAAAAGAGTTTGTACTAGTATTTATCCTTAAAAATGATGTACAACGAAAAATGATGGGCTAAGTAATGCTATGAGTCTGGTCATGTATTCTTGCGCGGGAGGGGAGGCCTACATTTCGCGTTTTACCGAGTTGGCTGTTTCAGGGGACTGTCTCCAAACGGGAGGGGATGATGCCTCAAATCCCCGCAGACCTCATGTCTTGGAAGAAAGGCAGCCTTGCCGCAGACACACTCTTTGCTCTCATCAATCAGTCCTTAAATCACTCAAATAAAACTTCATAGGGGCATGGAAAAGTGTCTCGGTGATGGATTGATTGGCCTCTTCGGGACCCTTATCACAATAAGGCAGATGAAAGAGAAGGATGTGAAGAATTTCTGAAGACGTTTTACGTTTCAGGAGTGCGTGTAGCGATCAATATTCAGTTTTGTCATAGTTAGAAATAAATGTAACAATTGTTTTTATCAGACGTAATGATATTATCGTAATCAATATTGCATATTCTTTCAAATGAATCCTATGTATTTTATTACAAACTTTGATCGTTTTCATGAATCTGAATTTAAATGGTCTTTAAGCTCGAAAATAGTTATCCAACCTGTGTATTAATATCCAACATTTATATTTTACGCAAAAACAAAACCCTAACCGTGTTATATTCTCATTATATTCAGTTAATGATCTGGCTGTGAAATATATATATATATACACACACATATCGTACACGCATATAATGTCGTATATATATGTGTGTGTGTGTGTGTGTGTGTGTGTGTGTGTGTATATATATATATATATATATATTTCACAGCCAGATCATTAACTGTTGAAAATGGATTTTAGATCTCACAGCATATCAACCTTTATTTATTTATCTATTTATTTAAAGACATTTTAATTCAAATGTAATTTTGTACTTTAATATTTTTAAAAATACATTAATAAAACGCGTAGCTTAGTTTTGCTGTCAACGGCTGTCATGGGCGATCTGGGATATTGAAAAGAGAAAAAAAATCTAAGAATAAAAAGCAAATAATGTTAAATAATGAGAGGTGATCAGAGTAGTTTAAATGTTTTTTTCTGCGTCAAGGGCGATTTAAAAGGCATATAAAAGCAGTGCCGAGCAGTCTGTGTCTGCTTAAATGTTCTGAAGTCCGAATTAATTCTGATACAATTCAACAGTTTCAATGTAACAAACAAACGCTGCTAGTTTTTAAAAGCGAAATTTGGTCTTTCCTTCTATTGTATATAAATGAATGATCATACCGAAATTAAAAGAATATACGCGGGTACTCAATATACAGCCTGAGATTGCCAGTGTGGCATGTTCACTTTTGACTCCTGAACGTGACACACACAATCTTTATAGGCCCATTTAATATTAGATTTATACTTTTTCTGTGGGCTGCATTTTAAATACACATTTTAATAAGTCCTTCTCTTCCGTAAGCCACCAGTGATCTGGCATTAACTACATCTTGGTTGATCGTTGCGAAACGTTAAGGTTGCACCCAACATACGGCTAGCATTATTAGACACAAATTACGAGAAAGCGTCCTGGCTTGTTCAACTAAACAAAAAACCCAAAGCTTTATTTAGCAACGCTCACTTTTAGGATCATTTTGCGTGCAATCCTCCCTATTTAAAATTCATTAACTACCAGAGAGTGGCATCCAAATCGGCTAGGTTGTTACTAGGACTTTGCTCATGTTATGCAGATCCGACCTAAAATCTTACGGTTTAAAACCCCCAAAACTCAATCCCTCAGTGACACCAGAAAACGAATACACATTGTCTTAGAAACGATAACATAATAGATAAGGTATTATAAATAGGCCTAGACGTTTATTGCTTTTGGAAGTCTATTAAGAGCAACAAGTTCTAAGGACTTTGTAGACAATCTCCGTACGTGTCAAAGTCAGGTGCGTGCACTGTGGACGGCACATCTGCGTGATTCTGACGATATCACAGACGCGATAAGTTCAAAGCACGTATCTTACCGTGATATGTCTTACACTCCTTTCTCCAAACTTACTTTATCATAAAGTTGAATAGGACCAAGCCCTATTGAAATGAAATATACGAGCTAATGTGATAATCCCCCGTACATTAACGTGATAATCGCACATGAGGCCCGCGTGACATTGCCGTGAGGGTGACTTACTGTCCTGCTGCGTGGTATCACTGCCGCTGGTTAGACCCGGCGATTCCAGCATACTCCTTGCCGCTTCTCCGGTGGTCTCGTCGCTCGGTGTCCCTACCATCTCCCCTGCCTCCTCCAGGTCCAACAGATGGCTTACTGAGAAGTTCTTTTTAGCTTGTAGATTTTCCAGATTGGCAGTAATTGGGCTCTCCAGGCGGTTAGATCTGTCCATCACATGCATATAACCAGAAGTCATGACGTAAATAAAACACAGGTAGGATAATTACTCCCTATTCACAAAAAGTACTAACGACGTCTCCAACCCCATCAACAGGTCTGACTTTGAAATAAAGAATGTTTAAAAGCTGTACGGATCCAGATAAATGACGTTCTTCAGTGATTAAGGTTTTAGGGTCGATTGGCTTCTTAAAATGACCAAAAATGAACTTCTTTCCTTTTGAACAGATGCTATATTTTAAAGGATTTTCCACACTTAAGCAACCCACCAAATGGCTGGATATGGCATCGCTCGCTCTGCTTTGTAGCGTCCCAGAATCCTACAACATTCCGGGAAGTTATTTTCTTCTCCACGCCTGCTGCGTTACGACATTGAATGACTAAGCTGCAGAAATGATTAGGTCTAAATACGCACTGAAGCCGAGTTCTCAGTTTACGTTCGGTAGTGGAGCGCTGGATGTTGAAGTTTTTGACTTGGGTCTTCCCCTCATCCGATCGACGGACTCTCTGGCACATCAAACGATCGAGACTGCCATGCGAGGGGAGCCGAAACGGGGAATAAATGAAAATTTGAGACCCCTGGGAGGGTGGTTCGACCTAAAAGGAGCCTGTAATTACGTGGCGATGCCTTGTGCTGTTTCTGACGTTTTACAGACCTTCTTTTTACCAGGCCACCCCCGCCTCCCGACTAGCAATACATACCACCGCCAAAGCACCCTGATTACGGAATCCTTGAAAGAAATCTGCCTGACAGTTACCCCCCAAATTTACAATAGAGTCGTAACGACCACAATGAACATGATTAAAAAAACCATTAGTCACAACGATATATGAACTGTTTCTGAAACGAAATATTATGCGTTTTAGATTCCGCACAACATAAAATGCGCACTTTTAATAAGTGCTAATTAGGGAATTTTTTTACAATAGGCTACATTCTCTTGTTCTTGCAACTTACAAAGCAGGAAACTTAAAACGCAGAAAGGAAACCATATATGTATCATTTAAAGTTGTGTGTTAGACAAGATCACAAATGTTTCTAATGGATTCTACACTCGGGAAACGGTATATACAAAATCATCCTTGGAAAATTTATTTTACTTACGCCTTAAATAAAACTGAATAAAAATCGATGAAAACACTACTTAAGTACCGTTCTAAAATCATGCTTAAAGTCCTGAAGAGAGATTTTAAGAATATTTATTTTGATGTTACGCACAAATTCGTCCCGTGCGTGCAAGCCACACGTAGACTAATCAGCGTACTTAAGGGTTATGCTGGGGATGCTGATTACAGGCTGGTAGTGATCTGACAAACATGCTGTTTTGTTTGTCTTGGTCTTTAAAACAATACACCGTCTATATGAAAATTACATTTTTAAGTTAAGCATTCCAGTTTGCTTTGACTGAGCGTTTCGGGGGGGTGGGAAAGGGGGGGGGGTACTCTTTAAGCAGCCGCAGTCAGTCCCTCGCTTCCAGCCACAGATCTGGGAAAAGAACGCTTGATGCCATCAAAGGGATGCAGATTGAAACCAGATGTACGGTGCCTCTCTCGTACTTTCCATGCATTTAATTAAGGCGCAGGGATGGAATAGTCTTTTTTTCATCATTAGTTTTCCTTCCGAACCCCTTTCTCTTTCTAGTAAGAGGACCGATGTTGATGCCAGGGTAGCATGTCTGCCTTTTAAATCTATAAATACACAAATACAAAGTTCTGTCATCATGCGTTGGCGAAAGTTTGCTTTCTTTTCACCGCTGCTCCAGAAGACACGTAATGAAACGTCAAATAGCCCCGCAGGTTTATTAACCCACTTCGGCTCGAGCTGTGCGCGGAACCTTGCGTTTGTTTGCACAGTACACTGTTTAAAAATGGTTTGCATGAAGAAGTCCTGAACAATAAACACACATTAAATGACTCTCCCAAAATTCAGAAGTGGCAACATGTTTCTCTTTCAGATTTAAGACGTATAAAAATCATCACATGATTAAATGTAATTTTAGGTTGAATTCTCTGTGAAAGATGTTAGCATTTAATTGTAACGCTTATCACACGAGATTATTCAAGTGTCGTAGCAAATGAAGAACAAACGCTGATAAATATTTTCGGATAAATATTTTTCAGAAATACAAACAGGGACACACAAAACATAAATGAACCCCCGATAAAGTTATCATTTGGTGCACAATCTCTTTGTGATATGCAACGAATCACCCTCCCTCCCCAAGACCAGACATATTATTATTACTGGAACGTGGAAAAAACGCGACACTTCCAAAATGTAGACAAATAAAAATAAATCCGATTAAAATATAATATTGAAGTAATTATATCCTGGATATTACCCTATTATCATTATTATTATTATTATTATTATTATTATTATTATTGCAGGCGTTGTGGCTAGTGGTAAATATTAAAAGGTCCTATTCAGAAATAAAGTTAATAATGTTGTTAATGTTAACGACAAGAGTAACGTTTACGAAAAGAAATTATCTGATGAATTTTATGTATATTTGTGTTTCATATATCGCGTTTCGACGCGCCAAATGTATATAATGTATAATGTATATAAATCAATAAGTAAATGGCATTAAATTAACGAGTAGGCAAGTCTCATTAAAACCCATGTCATTAAAGACTTCACGGAGTCATGTGAAATCGTGGCGGTCGTAACACTTGCAGTAGCCTATTATAATTCATAATCCTGGTCTTCATTATGGTAATCTCCAACATTATTAGTTGTTACCAATTATATTTATTTTTATTGATGTGAATTCCTTAACCCGTCTGAACCTTAAGTACCTTGCTTGATTAGATCAGAATATGGGTGGGCAAATTTTACTTAGAGTTTTGGAAGCCGTGTTGTTTAATTCACACCAGATTGATTACATGTGGAAAGACCACAAGCGGTTTGTAATTATTGTTTAGTCATTATTGAACACAGAATAACCGAGATGGCTGAATTATATTTTTAAGCAAAACTCTGGAATTGTGAATGATGACGAAACAATACAGACAGTAATTATTAATACCAAGTGTCAGTATATCAATACTGGTATTTCTGAGGGTAAACTGGATTATTGCTGGATATAATCTCTTCTTAAATGACAGAGTGCATCTCGTGCTTAAAGTTCGATCTCAATACAGCATTAAATTCGTTCCTTGCAGGTTGCAGACCGTAAAAATTAGACGCATTCAATGTTGTCAGAAACAACAGCTTAACAAAGGTCATCACCTTAATTAGCAGGGTGGGTCGGGACCTGGAATATTTAACAGGACCAGTCAATTTCTAAGTTGACGACCCACCGATTATCGAAAGGCACAAGACAGTGGACAATATAAGCACAAGACTTCGTAACACTATTAAATTTATTCAAAAATAATTAAAGTTGAATAAAAACGACTACTCTAAAAATATGAACGAAATAGTTCTTAGTATTAATAGGCCTATCCATACCGGTTATTTGTGCCTTTACTGTGTGAGTATTAATTACCATCGTTGGCCATAAGCGCACAGTAATATACAGAACACTGTAAATAAAGTCTTCTGATTAGTATTTTTAATTGACATGTTTCTATTGTAGTTAAATCTATCGTTTTATTACAAATTAATTACTTAATTCGGAGATTAAAACAGGTGGACTAATTCGGATTTTAAATTCGGAATTAACATGAAACCCAATTGACAAGTAAACGTCATTGATTTTTCTCGTATAGTTGATGACAATGATTGTACGCGCCGTGTATTGCATTACATACCCTGTGAGCAGTATCCTTCTGGATGTTTATAACTGTGACCGCTTGTACGATGTATGTTACCCATATTTCATAACCTTTTCAAAGAAGAATCCGTTCTAAAGATCTTTGGAAATGATAGTAAAATTATACAAATATCACAGCCAAACTATACGGAAAAAGTGTTTTTTTTTTTTGTATAAATTACTGGAGGGAGTCTTAAACTATTAATAGAGGCAAGCCACAGAATCACAAACACCACAAGTTTATTGCACAATGAATCCAGAACGCTGCAACGTTCTGATATCATATTACGGCAATACTTGCCTGGTAATTTTAATTTACATTGAACGACAACATAATAAACATTGAACAACTCTGACAGAACATAAACAATACAATCTTGTTTCGGAAATGCATAAATAGGGTCTACTGAAGTAGACTTACAACGATAACTTTATCAGCCAATGTAACATTATATCGATTAGGCCAATAAAAGAAAACCAAACTGAGTAAAGCACTTTATTCACATTTGCGCATTTAAGCAGAAATATAAAAATTCAACTTGAATATTAAGACAAATGCTTCAGACAAGACTTTCATTTTTCTGTGCGTTATGTACGCAGAACTTATCCGCTAAAAGCAACTAACTGGCTGATCGGCCAATCACACATTAAACGCGTTTATGGCGGCTCTTTAAAAACGTCGTGATTTTAACTACGTGCCTAATTATTGAATTATTGATGATTTACGTTAATCCGATTAATATAACTCATGTTGTATACACGGCGTGTCAAGGGCGCAAATCTATAACTAATGCATGGCCAGGGGCAAACGGTCCACGGTTTAAGTTCATCTTGCCATCTTTTCACTCCTCAGGTTACGGAGTTTTCCCCCAAACTGTCGGGATAAATTGGCTCCACATAAATCAAGGAACAGTCCGAAGCAGCAGCTCCGCTCTCTGAAGTCATATAGGTCTCACAAATCCGTAAACCTTAAAACCAAATTATGTTACAGCAGTACCACACCGCTTTATTACGGCGTATGTTTCCCATTATAACGCAGAAAATTCTGATCATTATAATCAAGATGCTAATCTTACTATTTCTGCGCATTTGGAAAATGGTTGTCGTGTTGTATCGGGATTAATGTGCTGGCACCGAAGATACGTTGTTAGAGAAAAATAACCATTAACTTTAACCGAAGCTGTTTTCCACGACTGTACCAAGCGGAAACAAATTTTACACATCTGACAAGAGAAAGAAAGGTTTTACTTCATTACTCAATGTGTATAGAGTTGTCACCCGCCGTAATGCGAAATTGCTTAATTTTTACCGTTTTACTGCACTAACCAATATATTAGCAAATTATACACAAATAATACAATTAAAAGTAATCATTTAATTATACAAATCAGTACCAGAACTTCATTTTTCCATTCACCATCCAAAACTTTATGGCAGACAAGTTTGTAAGGTAACGTTTAACAACCTATAATATGAAACTAACGGTCAGATTGCTACCACGACATACATGACAATGATCGATATGAACAAACAGTGTAGTGTAACCTAGACTAACTAAAAAGAAAAAAACATTCAACCATAAAACAAATTAAATAACTTTAAAGAAAAACTAAAACATCTTAGCAGCCCGTTAAAAAAAACATAATTTCCCCAAAGCTCAGGATCCCAAAAGAGACACAAACTACATTTCAAGGATGTTAAAGTAATGAGAGGTAAATGAAATTACCTTTTCTCTCAAAAACATTTCCGATCAAGGAAATCAAGACACTCATACATATGCCATTTGCTTGTTACGACACTCTGTTTTAAATTACGTGCTGTTGAGGAAGTACTGTTTGCAAACAAGTGCATCTTCTGCCTGGCCAGGGGGGACATGTTTCCTGCATTGTGCATAATCTTGATAGACAGCCATGACATTAGATCAACCTCTTCTGCATGGAAGCACATGGGCGGCCCGACACAAAGTATACAAGAATATTTAACGCCCTTTTAGAAATTGTTCCTAAAAAACAAACTATAGTATACAGTGTGTGTGTGTGTGTGTGTGTATGTATATATATATATATATATAGTGCAAAATGACTGCAGCACTTGGGAATATATATTCAAATTCTGTAGTTCCACTACAACACTCTTAAGAAACAGGATCATGGACAGGAATTATGATTATAAAATATGTGCTCATGTCCAGCAGCGAATGAGTCTTTGTAGATTTGTAGATGGGGGCTTTATCAGACAGGGGTGGCTACCTCCCTGCCTGCACATTCATGGCTGGGGGGAGGATCCTGACTTTCACAGTTCAGGTCACTTGTTCTTCGTTCGGGCAGCGTGGGCAGATCGTTCTCCTGTTCTGAGTGCTGTGGCGGTGCGGCGTCTGAATGGCGAGGGGTTTCCCCCGCCTCGCTCGCGCACTCTGCCCGGGCCGCCGCTCCTGTCGCCTGCTCCTCCTCCTGCAGCAGCCTCTCCACCTGGATCTCCAGCTCCAGCTGCTCCTCGTCAGCCTGCATCTCCAGCTGCTGCATCAGCTCTTCCAGTTTGCTTGCCTTGCGCTGCTCGTTCTGCTGGATGATGGTGTACAGGTGCTCAGTCAGCCGCTCCTTGGCCTCCGTCTTCTTGTGCAGGTCCAGCTTTGCGGTCACAAACTCAGCCTCTGCCTTCTCGTACCGTTTTCTGGCAGGAAAAGTACGACTTTATGAAGCCTTTTAGGATCTATTAACTGGAAAGTCATTTTAATACTCTTGCTGTGCTGCAGTGCAATAACAAACTTTTCTATTCTATTTTCGATTCATACTTTTTGTTATCTGTTTAGATAAAGCAAGTAAAGATTCTACATTCCTGTTTGGCAAAAAAATAATACAAAGACTGACTGGGGCAAATTCCATATTTACTATTATATTACTATACTAACATGATAAAACATCTGTGATAATGGAGTTGAAATTCAAGACCAATCCTACAGGGGGCAGTATTATTTACAAATCAATGCTTTCCAGGAAATCCAGTGAAATTTCAGATGGTAATGAAGATTTTAACAGACCTTCAGTATAATTTTAAAATGTATTGCAGTCATAAAAACATTTCCATAAAATAAAATTCATAGAAAAGCTGCAGAACTCTTGTCCCTATTAAAAATGAAATGTAACCTTCAATTTTGTCTATTCAGTAACAACAGTCAACATTTCTTAAGATATAAGTGGTATGACTTACAGTTTCATTTAACTATAAAAAAAACTGGATATAACAGATTGACTTCAAGTGTATGGATACGCTGGATTCTGAGACGACAAAGGCAATCTCAGTAATAAAAAAAGCATAGTTTGAACCAGAGTTTCCCAACCCAGTTCTTGGGGACCCACAGACAGTCCACCTTTCTGCTCCCTCCCACTTCCCTGCCAAACAGTCCACCTTTCTGTTCCCAAGGAGCAAAAATGTAGCCTGTGTGGGAGTCTCTGAGGACCGGTTTGAGAAATACTGCCATAAAATGTCCCAAAAGAGTGTTATTAGACTGTAAATTTGTTGAACAAGTGGAAAAGTGTGTGAGGCTGATAAAGACCAGGGACAAATCCGGGATAAGAATGGGCTGAATGTCACCTCGCTGCAGAGTATTCCCAGCTTGCTTGTTCTATCCGTCCACGCAGAATCCCGATGTCATTGGACACCATGTCATCCAGGGCCTGCAGCTCCTTCTGGATCCGCTTCAGTTTGACAGCCTCAGCCTGTGTTCGTTTGGACCTTAATCATCGAGAAAATGTAAATGTTTTCTCCTCTGTAAAACTAAACGTCAAATCTCCCGTATTTCACATAATATTAAAACACTGTAGTCATTCTCAATTTTTCGCTTTGTAATGGTTTTCTGGAGAAAATACAACAAAGATAGAAAGCCAAATTCAAAAAAACAATGACATACAAACTTTTCTTATCCATTAAAGTTCTAAATTTTGATATGAACAGGTTTTCTGGCATCAAAATGCTTACTTTTCAGCAATGGTCTTTGACAGAAGGGCTTTCTTGCGTTTATTTTTCTCTTCAATCATCCTCTGCTCTTGCTGAAGCAACTCAAGTCGCGTTTTCTCCCTTCTGTAATTTTATCATTAAATATAATGTCAGAAATAAGGAAGGTAGATATTTAACAAACAGAAAGCTGTGTAATATATACAGATAATGTAATTCTGGGTGGAAAAAAGCTGAAATAAACCCACAATTTTTTGACACTGGGGCTACTTAGTATACAAACTTACTAACAATTCGACCTCCTGTTTTTCCAGCTCTTTCGGGGTCATGTCGCTGTTTGCCACTGTGACAGGGCAGGGAGTATGTGACTCGTTCGTAGTGTCCTCGTTTTCGGCCTGGGGAGTCCCCTCAGTTTTTGAGGTTTTCGGCTCAGTTTGACTCGGGGTCAGAACTTTAGGTTTGTCGAGTTGCTGCTCTGATGGTAGCGGCCCAGAGGCGTCCTGCTGAGCGGCCACCTGAAGAGCTCGTTCACGCTGCAGCTGTTGTCGGCTTCGGTTAGTGGGGACCGGCTTTCGAACGCGACCAGAAACAGCCGGAACAACAGAATCTGCATGGGAGCGGAAACACGTTTAATTATTATTTACTTACTGTTAACGATTATTTACTGTTACAAAAATGACAACTGACAATATAAACACGCTAACCATTCAACTGATTCTAAACATGTATTCAAGTTAACTTTACTGTCTAGTTACATGAAAATTTCGTAAGTTACAACAAAATATATATTTACCTTTATTTTGCAACCTCCGGAGCTCATCCTCCGAAAAACCTGCCCATCCAGCCATCGCAGTAAACACAGCCTTATTCCATATTTCTTTAAAAACATTAATAATTTAAGAATTTCCAAAAAGTTAGTAGGTGCTACAGCAAATTCCACAGGAGGGTACGGCCATGTTTGACTACATTGCCACGTACAAGACCCAAACTAGGACCTTCAGATGGTGTCTTACAATATGCCTGCATCGGTGTCTAAGGAAGTCACCATCGATTGAATTTCAGGAATACTTTTTGCTTTACGCAATAAAATTTTCTCTTCATAATGTTTTATCATATTTTCATTGCACCATAACACGTTTTCTAAAACTAGGTAACGCACGTACATCACATGTTTATTTTATTGCCAGAAGACCAGCGCCGAGATTTTTTCCTTTGATTTGCAACAGGCAGTCAAGGTAAAACGCTAGGAGATGTCACTTGCTTGAGGATATTGTACGCTTCCAGTTGTTGGTGAATTATTAATCTACTGTACGCAGAATTCGGAACGATAATAAACATGACAAAAAGTAAGGTTTATAATAAAATGAACAAATATATATTAAATTAAATTATTAAGACTGATTTGAATTGCACCTGAATTTTTCATAAACATCTCTGTTCCATATGCATTGTAGGTATTATGAATGTGAAATATGAGTAAAATGTATGTGGTGACCGCTTTGAATTACGATGATTTTTTTGCGCTGGATTTTTTTTACCTATTTTATAAACCGTTATTTTGTTAAAAAAAAACTTTTTTTTTTTTTTACAAAATACATGTATTATTCAGCGACAGCAGAGGATGATGGAAGAGAAAAATAAACGCCAGAGACTGAATGCTCATATCAAAATAGATATCAAAATATATTTAATATTAAAATACATATATTAGATGCATTTCAGTTTAGATACATGTATGTTAAAAGCATGTTATACTGCAGCTCATGAAGTTGCATCATAAATATTTTTTATTATTTTTCAACATAACCCAAACCCGTTTTGTTATTATAATTTTGCAGTGACAAAGCGTTTGCTTTGCAAGTGACAAAGTGAGACACTCAAAGAAAGTGCAGCATTGGTGTTTGGTTCCGATACGATCCATTTTTTCTTTAGTTAGCCTACTGCTAGTTCCACCCACATTTTTTTTTTTTAATTTCAATGGGTTGGTGATTGTAAAATTTCTTTAGGGTGGTGGTATTCGGTCGTGTTTATGGGAGCTAGACTCCATTGTATGCTGATTTTGTTACAATGAGGCTATTTGCTAGGTTTTATTCGGATGTTATATTGACCACAATATAGCCTAGTTTAAGTATAACTATGTAGCGATCAACAGACTTGCTCGAGACAGGTTCCTGAAATACCTTGAAACAATTCGGAAATTGAAAAGTAAAAGTTGAAAAACAATTTAGAAAAATGTAGTCAATATAAATGTAATAGTTTAATACGAATTCACCTAAGACTGTTTATCACTGCCAAACAAGGCATCTAACTGCCTATATTACGATATCGGCTGCAATTGACCTACGGTGTGCTGCACACAGTAACATGCATATGTCCTGATGTGAGTGTGTCTGTTTTGCTGTGACTCAAAACACAGATACATAAACTGGGTAAATCTTTCGGACTTTTAGTGGATGATCTCATTCTCAAATTAATGAAATACTGTGCTCATGTTTACAATATGGCATAGCGTCTGTTATACAAAAACGCGTCTATAGCGGAGTTACCGGTTTTACAGCTTGGTTTTACTGCTACACTGCACCTTCGGCGATAATACGACCAACTTGGCAGACACGGTTTAATACCAGCCTTTTGCATACCACTAATCCCTTTAGACTTCACGCTGTTTGCAGTAGGGCTCGTTCTTATATTAACCCCTGACCCGAGCGACCACAAGGGCGCGCCTTTGACGGCAAGTGGCGGTAGCTTAATTGATGACTGTACCTAAGAGGAGAGAGCATGAGAAGATAAACAAAATTAAATCACGATGATTAATGTCGCTTCCGCGAAAGCAAAAGTGGATCGATGCATTTATTTGTCATATTTGTAACGAGGTTGGGGCTCAATTTGTATCAGTGTTTCGTAATAGAAATACATGCATGTCCTAGATGAGAAGGGGGGGGGCGGCATCAAAACTAAGGGTAGCCTCCGGCGCCATTCTATCGCGTGGATTTGAACGATTTCTCATCAAAAAACATTACTGTGGCGATGAAATACTAGCCTATTCGCATGTTTTCATAATGTATTCTTACCAAAACCGTTAAAATGTTCATATACCGTCTTCAAAATACAGTAATATTCCCGTGGCAGACTTTGAAATGTTAATGGAAGGCACAGGATTTAAAATATAGGATATTATGTGAAGGATTTAAAATAGGCTACCTGTCACAACTGATCAGTAACTCCAAACATCTACTCCACTCTTATCCCATACCCTTTTCTACATGCACAGTAAGTTTTCGTTTCGAAAATTTGCATTTTTATATCTGATGCCCCGCGGCCGCAGAGACCAAAGCAGGGAAACCGGTGATGGACGTCGAAAGGTTGCTGCTCTAGACAGTGGCCCGGGGCAGCACGCTGTCCTGGCGCCTGCAATCCGGGGTACTAATCCGGTGGACACCTCGGGCCTGCCACGGAGTGGTACCCATTAACATCTAATAATATTTGCAGAAATCAGAGTAGACGGAATATTCTTTAAAGACCATTAGTCACAATATATTTTCCGCGATGCTAGAAGTCGCTGGCACAATGCAGAGCGTAATGGAAAACATCTGCGTTCTGAATAGGACTGGGCACTCAGGACAGAAACTCCTACTCAAGGCTGTCTATGAAAGGAGAAATGATAATAAAATATTTTGAAAACGAATGACTAACGCGCATGCAAGCAAAGGCCTGCACCGTTTCAATCAAATTCGTAGAGACAGATATTTTCCCTGAGATTCCAGTTGGCACAGTAACCCATGAGAAAAACTTAAACATTAAGTAATATCAAATCCAATCAACATTCACATAATTATCAACGTCATTTCACTATAACATAGCTGGTTATTTTGATTCTGAATAATTACCGTGATGTGAAAACCTTAATTAATTGTTACAGAACCCACGAACTTTAAAATATAAATAATAACCAGCTTATAAAAAACTGCCAAATCCAAGCACTTTTTAAAGATTTATAGTTTTTTAAAATATCGATAGAATATGAATATCATGAATGTGTTTTAGAAAATTTATTTCTAATAAAGTAAACGGAATAATACGTTTAAGTACCCATGGCTGGTACAGCCACGTGCAATTATTTACATAGGCCTATTTCAAGTCATACGTTTTATGCCTGGATTTAAATGAACCACGGTGAAATTAATGCAATATTTTATTTAATTTTTTGCCGTTGGATGCAATATCCTAACGTTTTATTAAACATTCAATTCTGCATGCCTAACTTACGCTACTTTCATATATTTTATTGAACTCATTCTCGTCCCGACTTTTACTGTGCGGGCAGTATTTAAGGCTTATATTGTGCAAGCAAAGCTTTGGGCACATCAAATAAGGTTCAGTTGAAAAATCTAGCTGAGCAATAAATCCTTTTCCAAAGTTTCAGTGCCTTGTCCCAGTAAGCTGGGAGTTTTCTTGGGAACAGTTTTTCATTGGAGATACGCAGCATACAGTTTTTAAAGACATTGAAACGGAATGTGCCCTTTCATTCATTCATTCATTCATTTAAAAAGCCAGTTGTCTTCTATACAGTTGAAATGATTTCATCGGGGTTTTCACGCCTTGTGACGTGCTACATTTGCGTCGTATAGACTGCCTTCATACGGGTCAGAATGTAGTGGTTCATAACATTTATCAGGCTTCTGATTTGCGAAGGTTTACGGCGGCTGGTAGTCGTGTCATGCGTTTTCTATCCGGCTCATCCTTACATACTCATCCCTTTATCCGTCCTTTCATACATTCCCCCTTGTTGTAGGTCCTCCTTATCTATGACGGGAAGTAGTGCATGAGCGCTACCGTGCTTAGCGCAATTCAGACAAGGACTTACCGGCGATTTTCAAGATTCATTGACTTAATTCTTTGTCACGATTTAGGCAAAGTTATCTCAAACTGTTTTACCACTAATAGGCCTACTGCAGTGGAAAATCAGATTTTCCTTAATTATCTTAAAACAAAATTTAAATCGGAAGCAATGGCCTTTTAAAATCGGGCATGTTGTCAGGTAAGTGGAAAGGGAGGTAATCTATACTGGTAGAAATGAATCGACGTCCATAAAACATTTCTAAGCAGACCACAGGTGGCTTTCCCGCGAAAATGTTAAGTTCAGCTAAACAGTAAAAACACTGTGACATTTTTTACACCTCTTGGAACCAATGATTCCTCCATAAAAAGGTGAAATACCGCAAATGGGTATAAATCACAATGACTGTGAAGACGGGGCTGAGTATGGCATCCAGATGCAAGGGGATGGATGGGCGTTTGCGGCTTTGATGGAACCAGCACTGTCAACTGGTAGATGGAGAAGCACGAGACCCATAATGATGTGCTGTGCCTGCAGACTGGAGACTCTGCGTGGGGTCCGTCCCAAATAGGTCCTGTGATTTCCAAGGTGGGACATTGGTTCAAGCTGAAAGAGGGAGAACGGGCAGTCTGGTTGTGTTTGCATGTTAGTCTGTGTATGTCAGTGCACGTGTGTGCGCGCTAATGTCTCCTCGTGTGAATGTATTTCCGTATGCACAGAGCAGCATGGTCGTGTGTGCAGCCCTGTCTGTCACGCATCAGTTACAGCTGCGTCTGTTCCGACCAAGTTTTTATAGTGTCCCTAATCTATTGAAAACAGACAGTTGTTATGAATAGATCTGTAATTCTCAAGTCTGGTAAGTTCCGTTAATATGCCAGGGTAGGCATTTCATAAGTACATAAATCAAACCGACTATTACGTTGCTGCATGTTACATACTGAATCCTCTGTGGTTTTGATTATTAAAAAATCATTGTATAATAAATGTGGCATAGACAAAAAAAATGTGATGTTGCCCCCTCATAAACGAGTACTTTAAGCAAAATTATCCGACCACGTATAAATATTTTCTTTCCATTCATATCAACGAACGTGTTTTTTTCACTTAACAAAATAAAACTTTCGAAGTGGATGACTTTAATTAAAAGATTAAGTATAGCTGTGACAGAATTTTTTGTATAGTTGTGTGCCAGAGAAGACTGCTCTTGGAACGAGTAACATACGTTTGCGACAAATGGTTTTTCACTGGATTTTAATTTAAAGAGGAAACGCTGCCAAATGAATTACAGATGTAAATGCGTTTTGACGTCAAGTTAAAGAAAAGATATGTTCAGAATGAGGAAACCGGAGTTTGGAATGGAATGCCAAAAATAATACGCTGAGTTAGTCCAACCATGCAGTCCAAGCTCTCCCTGACAAACTGACAATAGTGTGAACATGTGTGAATAGTGCGAACATTAATAAGTCTCGGTTGGGGAGTAAGTGAGTGAAAAAGAAAAGAAAGCAAGGAGAACTCCCCCCCCCCAGCTTTGGTCTTCTGATTTATAGACGGGAAAGTGTCAGAGTACTTCCTGTAACAAAAGTGTACCGTTACAGAGTGTATGAGGTCTAAAAGTATATCTGAATATGAACTGAATATCACAGCACACTGGTGTCGAATTGCCCACAGGTTTGCCATAGCAATGCTAAAATGTTGTTTACATCAGTAAGAGCAGATCAACAAAAGCATTTTGTAAGGAAAGATTTTTCAGGGACAGTGAAGCACAAAGGAAATCGTCTAATGGGAGTCCGACGCCCCCCCATGTGTGTTGATTTAATTTGCTTATTTAATACAAAAACAAACAAACAAGGGACATATTCCTGACCTCACTTAGCTCGAGGACCTCTTCTCACCTCACTGTCCTCCTCAGGTTTTCTCATCCCTGGTCTGAATTTGCCGAATTTGTTCCCGAGTGTCTATCGCTGACCCTGCCGGTCCCACCATCTGCTACACATTTGGGGCGCGAGTCCTGCCTGACGCAGCGTTCCATGGGGGCTTCTGGCTGGAGCCGTGGGGTTACTGGGGAGGTGTGGGTGGAGTTGGGGGGGGGCAAGGCCTGGTCGCCGGAGATGGTGTTTGCTAAAGCCGCTGACTTCTGTGCAGCCTGACGCGACGTCTGTCCTGTTGACAGTCTTCGTCATTAGCACTGCACTGTGAGGCTATCGTGCCTCGCGTGTGTGAATGCTTAGGATCTGTCTGAGCCTGTCAGGATAATTAGGGGTGAATCACCGGACACGATAAAAGACGTCTTTTTAGCCATTTATTTACTTATTGTATTAATTAACGATTTCATTATTATGTTGAGATTCCCAGAAGCTAGTGCTGTTGGTTCACATCTGTATGGAGTTTCACGTTCGCTCCATGCTCGTGTGGGTTCTCCTGAGGTTCTTCTTGTTCTCTGGTTTTTTCGTCAGGTTCAAAGGCATGCAACACAGATAGGAAACTCAGAATTGCCTCCAACGTTCTCTGTATGAATAAATAGGTGTATCCGGACCGGTGTTCTATGCTTTCCTGCCTGAGATTCAAAATACTGCAGCCCTAATTGGCTAATTGGAAATGGACGGATTAGTGAATATGGTAGCAAGGCTATTAGTGACGTCTTTGTTTTGATGGAGGCTGTGGAAATGTATAAAATATCTAGTCAGATTCTCTAAGTATCAGAAGTAACTGATTGGCTTGTACGTCTCGTTACCCGAAAGTTGGCCTATATTAGCTTACGTCCACTAATCAAGGGGACGTTTCACGTTTCCAGATTTCTTTTAATAGGAAACATTTGTACGTGTGCCGTTTTGCATGTGTGCATATGTGTGTGTGAGTATGTGTGTGCTTGTGTGTGTGTGCATGCATACGTGTGTGAGAGTATGTGTGTGCTTGTGTGTGTGTGTGTGTGTGCATGCATACGTGTGCCCCGTCAGCTGACTTCCAGCTGTCATGGACTGACGTGAGGCGGTCGTGTTTTCAATTACCGCCAAAAACGCTAAGTCTTCGTTTCCCATGAAACGGGGCTGGGCATTGCAGTCCCACCAGGAAAACAGAGGAGGGGGGTCGGCTCCTGGAGGCAGGACGCTCCGCTGAGATGGGCCACTGTCAGGCCCCGCCCCCTGCGTTTGTACCCCCAGGGTTCTCCCCTGTCCTTCGCCCCCATTCCCTCTGTCAGCTTGACCTTAACTGGCCCAGAGCACTAACTTGCTCCTATGGGGCTTTCACAAGAATAAAATATGATTTATTACTACAGTTTACTGCTTAGGCTCTGAATTTATTTAAGGACATAGGAGCAGGTTGAGATTTGATACGTCTCTGAAGAATTTACTCCCCTTGCATGTCCCGATGCAGAACTTTGGCTAATCACTCTCGACATATCATTTTTGATTATTTAAATTCCCAAATCATATGCATGTTTTCAAAACGACATAGCTTCAGGTACCGACAGATGTCAAATTCAATCACTAACAGTGACGATATAAGCAAGATATACAATATGCATTTTAGTACAAAAAGCAAATGTGGTTCAATTTAAATATTAGGGGTCAATTTAAATATTAGGCAGTGGAATTAAAACAAACCATCTTGCAGAATCTGGCAACATAATTTTAGTGCTATAGCCACTCAACACCAATAGTCTCTAATGTAATACATTTAATTTGAAACTTATTTCAAGAAGAAATCTATACTCTATTTTTTTCTCATAGCAGAAACAAAGTAGTCTGTCTTAATATATATAATTTAATATATTTATACTAAATTGAGATCGCAAAAGAAAATGCATTAAGTAAATAAGGTTTTGGCTGCTGTGTGTAAAAATGTTTTTTTAATGATTTTTTGCAACATAAATATGTAACGTCAGTTTTTTGGTGAACTGAATTACATTATGGATGCTTAATGTTTCCCATGTGTGCCTGCAATTTGCCAGCAGATACACTATGGATAATGAGTTGCCTATTTTCAATGCAATAGCCAAGCAGAGGAATTCCTGCCCAGCTGAGCGCTCTGTTTAATATCTGCTATTTAGAAGCTTGTTAAATAAAACTTGCTCCATTTCTTAGGTACTGTTGTTGTTTTTTTTTTAAATTTTTTTTTTTACACGAGTCAGAGTTATTGTATCGTCATAATTATTCTTAACATACGGCTTTACATTTATGCTTGGGTTGCACCTACAAACACAAAATATTTTAGGTAAATAAATGCCACGCAGCTAAGCTATAAAGTCTAAGATGTTTCATCTTTATGTTGCCAAAAGAACTTTTTTTTCCAGTTTGACGGTAATTACTCTGGACGGGAAATGATTATTCTGTGAAGGTCATGTTTTGATGTTTGGACAAAGGGGTAAACTTTAGGGCATGAGTGAACCGTTTGGGTAAATTAGATTAATGTGTTCATGTCACTGTAAAGCACCATATAAAACCAAAAGCCTCAAATGAGTAATTAATGAGTAACGTCTTCAAGGTAATTTGTATAAGGAAAAGCCATACAGTTCCCAGCATCCTTTCTGTAGTTCCTCTTACCCTGCTTTAGTATTATTCCACCCAAATTCAGTGTTAAACAGGAGCTGGCTGACCAAAGCACTTGCATTTTTAAATCACTTTACAATTTACTTTGAATTATAATATTATGGTTTAGTTTTGAAAGCAATTCCAGGAACAGTCCGACTCAAATAATTTAACTGGGCTCACAAAAACGGTTTCCACATGGATAACCCACTGCAACGGTAAACATCTTAACTGTTATGACCAGGAACATTTTTAATTAATAAACTAACAGAAATTATGAACCTAGAGACCAGTGGTGGCCAGTCTTATCTAGAAAGGGCCGCTGTGTATGTAGGTTTTCAGTGCAACCCCCTAATTAGATTACTAAATAGAGGACTGACTGGCGGAAGCATCCTCACACCTGGATTTGAGCAGCTGACCTAGAGGTTATCCCAAAAACCTACCCACACACCGGCCCATTGGGGATAAGACTGTCCACCTCTACTGTAAACTCATTTAGATAAACTTAAGCAGCAGTGTAGGGGGTTTATCCATGCAGATGTCTGGTCTTACTGACACTCTGTTCAGGCTGCTCCCTGCCTACTGCCCTGTGTTTCCTTGGATACGCCCCAGACTCACCCTAACCCTATGCTGGATAAGCAGTTATGGAAGATGGATGGGTTTTTGTGAAACACAAGAAGAAGCATTATGGCTTTTTATTCTGTAGAGTCGTGTCTTGACAATCCAGCCCTTCACCCCTCATCAGATATATTCTCTTCACTTCTTGGTGTTTTGTTACATGATGAAATCTACGGTGTTCCATTCACACCACAAGCACCATCAGTTATGAGTGAAGATTCTGAAGATTAATCTCAGGCCGGCCAGTGGTTAGGTTCAGCATCAGGAAGCAGAAAGGCCTGTATACTGCACAGGTGTGGGTGTTGGCCGGCTGTATATCATTAACAGAATTCCCAGAGGACATGCACAGCTGCTTAATTTAATACAGGAACAGATTTCCTCTCTCCTGTTACTAACACTTGCTCTTCTTGCAGATTTATATGCAAGACTGGGCATTTCAAAACAATTTGCTAAACTGCCTAT